GAGAGAGAGAGAGAGAGAGAGAGAGAGAGAGAGAGAGAGAGAGAGAGAGAGAGAGAGAGAGAGAAATCCTATCTACAGGACAGAGGCGATCTTTAAAGTGTTCGGGCAGCATTTTCCTGCTCCTTCAGGATAAAAATTGAAGTTGTGAGACTTGTCCATCTGCGTACATTAATTGTACCACATTCTCCCTTCTTTCTTGCGGTAGTGCCTTTGTGTTTGATCTGTGTGTTTAATTTCAGCTTAGAAATGGACTGGAAGTCGCTTAACTCTGCAGAAAGACGTATACATTTGGCTGCGGGCTGTACAAAGTAATCTTGTCCAGAGGACAGTAACTGTTTTGTTTGTTTTTGTAAGTGTTTTTACGGCGCTCGCAACTGCTTAAGGTCATATGAGCGCGCGGGACACACCTAATATTTTCGGTTGGTGGGAAATTTTGAAATTTGCCCGGGTGACGGCCGAAACCTACTCTTATCGATTTTAGACCACCTAGGGATCTTTAACGTGCGCAACTTGCACACGGGCCCTCCGAGATTTTTCGCCCTTGTCCGAGAAGGCCAGGTGTAGAAAATTGTTCGGTCGCTATCCGGATTCGAACCCGGGGCCTTTTGAATGAGAATGAGAGGCCAACACCTTAACCTCTAGGCCACAAGAGCCCCCGACAGTAACTGTTGGATGGAATCAACAATCTTAATGTCTTCGATATCGTCAAAAAGTGCGCGGCTCAGAGTTTCCCGTGCCCAGCGCACACTGACTGCCAATAGAATGCGTTGACTGAGTCGAGGTCAGCAAAGTTTTCCTTTGCGGATGGACTAAAAAACCTCCATAAAATTTTTGGCACGATTCGACCAAATTTGACTCAATTCGAATGTGTTCATCAAAATCAGATGCAATCGTTGTTCAGGGTTTTCCTACCAACTGAAAATGCTCGATGTGTCCCGCACGCTCATGTGGCCTTATGCAGCTGCGAGCGCCGTAAAACACTTACCAAATTATTTTAAAAAGATCGCGAGTTGAATCGGTCTTTGATCGGTCTTACTACCTGTAGCTTTTGACCCTCTTCCATGGAAGAAAATCTGACCGACCTCGACTCAACAATTCGATTGAATTTGCAGTGTGTACTGGGCATGAGAATAACACAACACAAGATAAATGACATCAGGCACTATAAGGGTAATTGGAGGAATTCCCGATATCTAGGAAAGGAGTGACGTGACGGTGTGTGACGGTGTGTGAAGGTGTGGAGGGGGCGGGGGCGGGGGCGGATCTTTCCAACAAATTCCGTTAATTGAATAGCCCGGGCTTTCCTGCGCACCTCGCCCCCACGGATCGGGTTAAGGGGGTTGGAGGGGGGGGGGTCACTCTATCAAGCGTATCATTACAACGTATGTTTATTCGCCGCCTTCTAAATCTCCACCACATCAACAACAGGGAGCATTCCCGAGAAAACTGTTATCTATTTGAATAATGACGTCAAGGGTCTGCATATCACAATCGCCATAATAATTAGTTTAGTCATATTACGGTATTTTTTTCTTCCAACCTCAAAGGTTTAAATAAAAACACCCCCCC